GGGGGGGGGGGGGGGGGGGGGGGCATCGAATGTGCCCCATTGACTAAGAAGGGGGCGGGCGCAGTAGCTACATGGACCCCTTCCTTTCTGTTGTTGCCAGCGCTTTCCCGGGCCAAGCCATAATTCTTTATGAGAAAGGGTAGGCAAAGTCCGAAGACTACTATCTTACCTAATAGGCCAGCGGGCGGAGCGAGGAGAGGGTCCGACAATCATACCACCGCTTTTAAAAAAGCATGTTCCCTTCAGATAAGACATACTGTAGGCCATCCTCGAACTTCTTCATTTTTGATGAAAAATAAATCCGATCTCGATCTCTGAGAGCGTTTTCGTTCCCCTCCCTTCGACAAGCCTTTCCTTTAATGGTTGGGGGAAACATTTCCTTATCTGAACTTGGCGGGCATTCTTTACTAGCCTTACTCAAACAAATAGGGGTGTAACATTGACTCAAAGATGATTTTCAGGTCCTAGCTATGCCATGCATTTAATATGTTGGGTTTTATGTCTTAAAACTCATCGTTTGTAAACAAAAACATATTCTGTTTTTAATAAAGTTATTATTGATGTTTATTCAGTAAAGATTGTTATTGAATAAAGTGAATGTTACGATCATTAATCTAAATCCAATAAACTAAGAACACTCTGGCTATAGTATGATTACTTGAACTATATATAGAGACATAAGAGCGAATCAAGTATATAGTAAAAAAGATCTATAGTACAGGGATAAGGTTGAGTACCTTATTATGGGGACGCTATGGATGCGACCCACTTTTGTATATGATATAAACAATGTGATTACTAAATTGTACATGTAGAGACATGTGAGTGAGGGTGTCCTATGCAATGAATATTGCATAAGATTGGACCATGAAGAAAACCACTCTCACTTTATAATGCCGTTTACTGTTGAGACTGATTTTTCATTCGATGACCTAGGTAACTCGATCTTAATCCTGAGCTAACTATGAACTCCTGTTTATTCGAAATTATTATTAGATTTGTATGGGTGAGAGTGCCCCGAGTTCGCCGACTCAATAAGCCTCCCATTTTAGGGGTAAGACTGGGTGAATAGCTGGGGACACATAGAGTGTAAGATGGAATTCACTCCTACCCGCTTTTAGGGATAGTAGGGAGGTTGTTCCCTTAAATACTGACTCCAAGTCTTGAACAAAGGGTCACACTCTCTCATTGGCCCAAGAGGGATTCGGCTTGGTGGTTGGACCACAAATCAATTGTTCATTAGAGGATCAGTGGGACTCAAGGAACAAGAAGTAACTTTAGTGGTAAAATGGTAAATTGACCCAACTCTAGTCACGAACAACCTGTGAAGGATCAACTTACTAATCATGGTTATATCAAATGGACAAAATATATCTATAGTGAGGGAGTGGAACTACTAGGCTATAGTGGAGTGTCCTAGTAGTTAATGAATGTTGGTTAATAAGGTTAATGAGTTTAGCCGGATAATCTCGGATCGTTGAAGCCCATGATCTGTAGGTCTATTAGGTCCCCCTGCTAGCTCATATCGGACTAAACCTTAGAACAGTATGACGAGTGAGTTCGAAGTGTTTGAATTCAAATTAGGGAATATACGCTTAATATATCCGATATATTTAACCGCAGAAATTGAAGATATTTAAATAAGATTTAATTATTTTAATTATGAATAGGGATTCATAGTCAATAGCCGAAATTGATTGGGATTGTATTTTACTTAATGTTAAATATTAATTAAATGGTTTAATTAATACTTTAATATTATTTTGATTTAAAATTAATTATTTAAATTAATTATTGAATTAAAATAAATAAAGTCAAAAGGTTGACTTCACTTAATGAAAAAATCTATGTTTGAGTTAGTGGAATATTGAGTGTCAATATATGGTTTAACCAAACTTAACATGTTTACCACATAATCCCACAAATTTAAGTGTAAAAATTTTGTTTAACCAAACCTACATGTTTGACCAATAAACCCCACAAATTTGAGTGGAAGTTTGAGTGTCAAAATTTGGTTAACTCAAACTTGCATACTTGTCACATCCTCCCACAAATTTGAGTGAAATTTTGAATGTCAAAATTTGGTAATCTCAAATTTGCATGAACATGCAAATATGTCTCTATAAATAGAGTTATTAAGGTACATGGAAAGTTGGCTTGAAAAACTTTGAGAAAATCTGTCAAAACTCTCTCTTTACAAATACTAAATTCCTATCAAGTTTAGTTACTCACTAGATTCCACAATTCCGTTCTAAGGCCGGAGAATAGTAGGGAAGACACTAGTGGTAGTTCGAAACCGGTTCGTGAGGAAAAAGAAATTTGAACTACAAAATGTTAGTATTCAAACTCATTGAGTTTTAATGCTTTTGAACATTCTAGTTAATTTATTATAATTAATGTACTTAGAGTACCTAAGATCCAAATTGCTTCCGTACGTGTTATAGTAACACCATCACAATACAAAATCTGGAAAGCTGCAGGGATGACAAAAGGAGGACACTTTCCTATCTTGTACTGAAAAACAAAGAGGAATAGAATAGACATCCCTTTTGTTTTTATATAGCTATATCTCTCTAAATTAAATTGAGAAAGAAAGTGTAGATGGATCCTATCCCCTATATCGAACACTAATTTGTAGAGATTTTTCCAGAACCCCAGTCCAGCCTACCCTACTGATATAATCTAGAATACACTCTCCGCCTTTACTTAACTTAGTA